TTGCTCTTCTTAAGCATGTAGAGCTAATTAGAAGGATTCAAACCCTGTTGTCACCCAACTTTGCTACATACAGTAACTCCCTGCTGGTGTTGTTACTAAGATGTCTTTTTTTACTGGATTTAAAACCTGAGAAAAGAGAACATCTGTTGTGAAAGCCTTCTCTACCCACTTCATGAGCACCAAAATTAGCACCTCATTTCTTCGAGGTTCTGACTCCTAAAAGCCAGCTATGTTCACCACCACCCCTCAAAAAAATTTACCACCTGCCAAAATATTCCCATCCTAAGGCTTGAAGTATACTGTGGCTAATAGCCATTGTTTTTATGCAATGATATCTACTCAAAGTCACAAATACAGCTATTCTGGGAGAAGATAGAGATTCATTTAACCATGTTGAAATGGAAGAATAATGAATTCAGTTTTGCTTCAAAAGAAGCAATGCAACATGGAAATGTTAAGACCTTCAAGATAACTGAATTTTACTTTCCTATATTAATGTATCATGATGCATCATCAGAGACGTCAACACTTTGAACTGTAAAAAGTGAAGATAATGATGTTACATAATTAGTGGAACTAAAATCCAATTGGTCCTCTAGGAAGAGCAGACTGACTTCCCTAATGTTCTGCAGTGATAAAATGAATATGATAGAACTGGAAGATACTTGTTCTTTAAACTTAGATTGTATGACCTGAATCATCTGCCTTTCATAAGTTCAGACAGAGTTGGGAGAATTATATCCCAGTGATGGCAAAAGCCACTAAATTAAAGTAATCTTCTATTTATAGGTGTGGTTTGAGGACAGAGAAGCAGTCTTAGACAAAAATGTAAGCAACTCCTTTTCACTTTCCACTTTCTCAATGTAACAGCTTTTATATGAACTGATCATTACTGAAACAGAAGCTTTGCATTATCATATGCACACATTTACTGGCTTCCATTTTTCTTAGTACTTTACTACTATTACTCTCTATTCTATTTACTTCTGGAGTCATAGACACTAGAATAATATCCACATATATTATTATATGAGTAAATGATGGAAAAGATGCAGCTTTTAAAAATCCTTCTATAACTGAATCATTTGTGCTCAAAGCAACATTTAATGATCTATCATGAAAATATAACTAACAGGGTAGGTGTGTGGGCCTCTAAATCAGGTTGCTCAATTGAAAGTCTCCCCTGGGCAGTTTTATTTAGGCTTACACAATGGTTTGGACTCGGTGACACTTTCATTTTTTTGCTGTCAAAATGGTCTTTTGCCCTGTGGAGGGACACAGATGCAGGCCTCTTTCTGTCTGTGGCCAGGACAGGTTACTGGCCTCTATGGAGATGTTTGGCCCTGGATTAAAAATCAACAACAAAACCAACCAGGCTGGGTTGCTAAAGGAAAGGAGACCTTCTCTCCCCATCCAGAGGTGATTCAGGGCGATGTCCAAGCAATGTGTTCTTCTTTCTTTTCGAGATCTTATATATTTTATTTTCTTTAGCCACTATCCATCTGAACTTTTGCTGGGTCTATTTTCTGGCTTATTGACTTGTCCACTGTTCCTTGCAGATATATACCTGAGGTTTTATTTCTGGTTCTTGGAGAAAGGAAAAGGGGTGTGTGCTAGCCATCCACCATCTTCGTTTTTTAGTTTTCTCCCCTTCTGATCTTGCTGTTGCATTCTTTTTTTTGGGGGGGGGCGTCAGTCGTGGGACTTGAACTCTAGGCCTGGGTGCTGTCCCTCAGCTCCTCAGCTCAAGGCTAGCACTCTACTACTTGAGCCACAGCACCACTTCTGGTTTTGTGAGTGTTTTATTGGAGATAAGAGTCTCACGGGCTTTCCTGCCTGGGCTGATTTTGAACCGTGATCCTCAGATTTCAGCCTGCTGAGTAGCTAGGATTACAGGTGTGAGCCACCAGTGCCTGGCTAATTGCTACTGCATTCTTGAGAAAGTCATACTTTAGATCTCCACCCCAGACTAGGTCAAATTCCCTATTTGATGGTAATAATAATACTGGTAACATATCTTCCTATCATCCCAGAACACAAGGGGAATTTTTTAATTTATTGTAATTACCAAAAGAGCAGGCTTTCTGTCAATGAAGACTGGGGACTGGACTAAACTTATCAGCAGGTTATAAATGATAGGTCACCTGTGGTTATAGGTAGTCTAAGAAAATTCCAGAATATAAGGTGACCATTACAAAGAGAGCATAGTCAAGTTTGGCATCATTGGAACAAAGAATAGCAGTGATTCTCTCTTCCCTTAAACCTCTAAATCCAATAAAATTTTGAAGTCAGAAATGCTTTATATGACTGGGTTTATTTTGGAAATCACATGACAATATAATTTGCATGCAGGATTTTGACTGAGAAGAGCATTTTATACAGATCCTGTATAAAAGAAATACACTACCACTCAGGCTAAAAATCAATGGGAGTTGATGAAAAACACAGTCCCTTACAGCAAAGAACATTTGGTTAAAGCCAAATATTCAGGAGACAAAGTTGCCTCAAGCAACATTTGAGTAGTAACTTTATTTTGTGACAATTTTTACATATTGGATTCTAAGTTCAATAGGGGCTGGATCTACATCTATTTCATCCATCAATGTGACCAAAAATGTAATATAGTCATGGAAAATAAGTAAATATCATTCAAACAATAGTTTGTCTCTGGGGTTCTCCCCCTCCAGACCCCCGGTTCTGTCTCTGGGGTTCTCCCCTGCCATGCCCCCTGGTTCAGTACCTATATTATGATAAGTACCTATATTATGATAAGTAAGGGAAGGGGTAAGTTTGAAGGGTTCAGTGAGAATGTTGAAAGAGGTGACATTGAACAAGGGGGGAAGGAGAGAAAAAGAGAGGAAGGAAGGGAGGAAGGAAGGAAGGAAGGAAGGAAGAAAGGAAGGAAGGAAGGAAGGAAGGAAGGAAAACAAATAATATGTCCTAGATTTCCATTGCTAAAAAAAATTAGTTGATTTACAACTTCAGGCAACAAGGGTGATAGGAGTGTGGGAAGGGGAGGAGAGAATAGATAGTGGACAACAACAAGGAAGGGAGGGAAGGGGTAACAATGATCAAGTAATGTACTCATTACCTTATGCATGTAACTGTAACCCTTCTGTACAACATCTTAACAATAAAATAAAAATTATTATTATTTTAAAACAATTAGTTGAGGACTGAGGATTGGCTCAAGAGGTAGAGCACCTGTCTAACAAGTGGAAGGCCCTGATTTCAAATTCCATGACTGCCCCCCAAAAAACCCACAAACAGCTGATTTTATATATATAACATGGTTAAGCAAATGTACTTTTCAATTTAAATCCAAAGCATCTGCAATGAAAATCAAGTATTTTAACTATTCTAGTTGGTTGTAAATATAATTTCTGTTAAAGAGTATAACTTTCATTTTAAAAATAAATCCCAGTATTTAAGTTCATGAGCAAGGTATTTGTTTTTTTGCCAAATAATATTCTGTAGTTCTTATTACTTGTGCACATTTATGTAAATATGTATGGAAGGGATTATTTTAATAATGGCTTCTTTACTTTAAAATTCATTAAGGCAACATTTATGATCAATTGATTATTTCATTCTTAAATGTGTTTAGCACACTTTGGAAAATAAAAATATAAAATTAGAAAAACAAATGTAAAAATTAGATTAATTAAAATTAAAAAAATTAGAAAACACAACTTAGAAAATTGTAACATATCTCTCAAGTGATTTGTCAAAGAAGAAAATTCCTTTAGCATGCAATGCTACAGTTTAATTTTTATGAGTCATGAATAGCAGCTGTAAACAACCTTTATATTGCACACAGAGTAGCCAGGCCACTTTTTGTATTTGGGATTTATAGACTAGAACATCTTCTATTGTGGCAAGAAGCAACCTGGAAAAGAGCAAAACTCTCTATGTTTCAAGAAATCTGGGTTACATTCTTAATACAATCAAGGAAACATCCAAAGGCTACACTGTTCATTTTAAGAACTTTGAAGTGTGTAGAAGCATATGAGGACACAGAAACAGAGATTAATATAAAATGATAGATGACATCACATATCAATAATAATTACCAAGCAGAAAAGGTAAACAACAGTTGTATCACAGTAGTCAGTTTTTCAAAAGACATGAAAGTCAACATAAAAATCCCCTTCAGTTACAGCAGCAGAAGGTACATGGTAAAAAGAAGGTGGTCAAATGGAAAGGAAAAATCAGTAAGAAATCTTACTAAAACAGGAGCTTTCAATGGATGTCTATGAGAATTTTAGTCTCTATAATAGATAACCACTGGTACTTTCAAACCATATTTAGATGATAGGATCAGTTATAAGCATAAAAGAATGCAATGTTACCTGTTACTTTTGAAATGTTCACACTAAGTAGACCAATGTGTTTGACAATTGGACCCCTAGCTCTAAGAAGAAGGAGAAAGAAAGAAGGAAAAGAAGAGAGGGAGGGAGGTAAGGAGGGAGGAAGAAAGGCAGGCAGGAAGGAAGACAGGAAGGCAGGAAGGAAGAAAGGAAGGAAGGAAGGAAGGAAGGAAGGAAGGGGAGAATGGGAGGGAAAGGAGAGAGAGAGAGAGGGAACAAGGGAGGGAGGAAGGGAAGGAGCAGTATTACTTTTAAACGTGTCTATTTGATGAAATTCAGCAGATGTTTATCAATTCGGGTAACCTGTTGAGTACAGCACCAAATAATCAATACCTTTCACTTGTGTTTTTTCCTTGATTTTAGGCACCCCTAAGCAGTGCATGTTCTTATTTCTATTTTTAAGATATCGAAATCAACATTCAAAGTATTAAACTACTGTCAGAATAGTGCCTGAACATAGTTCTGCCTGATTTTTCTCATCCTCTGTTGCTTCTTTAGAAAGAAAGAAAAAAATGTTTATCAACTTGTTTACCAGAAGAGAGAAGAAGTCTATTACAATAGCTTTGAAACTCCATTTTAAATTCCAATAATGAAAGAACCAACATGATCCTCTTGTTTGTTTCCATATAGGTATATGGCCATTATTGACCCCTTGAAACCCAGACTATCTGCTACAGCCACTAAGATTGTCATTGGAAGTATTTGGATTCTAGCCTTTCTACTTGCTTTCCCGCAGTGCCTTTATTCCAAAATTAAAGTCATGCCGGGCCGTACCCTTTGCTATGTGCAGTGGCCAGAAGGTCCCAAACAACATTTCACGTAAGTTTATTCTCTGTTATGCTTTTTCAATTCAGTTTATCAAGCACTTAGGGAAATAAAAGTGAGGAACACAAAAAGTATTAAAAGAAAAAAAAAGAAAAAAAGAAGAAGAAAAGAAAAATGCATTACCTTACCCATGTAATTGTAATTCCTCTGTATGGTATTTTCACAATAAAAAAATTTTTTTTAAAGAAAAAAAAGTATACACATTCCTCTCATGGCTAATGTCTCATTTAGTAACGGGAACGTGTAAAATAGAGACAATACAGTGTGATGTGGTCATTAAGTTTGTTAAGCAACACAAGTTTTTAATGGGAGATGTGATGACTTCTCTATGAAGTATCGCGAGAGTTTCCTGGGGGAAGCCATACAAGTGAAGGCATAGGGCTGCAGGATTGTTATCCATTGAGAAGAGGCTGGAAGGAAGCAATGCTTCAAAGTGTTAATTGCTCTTTTAGGAAGTCTTGGGAGGTCCTTGAAACTTGTTTTGGTTTGATTCAGTTTGCATTCATGTATTTCAGCATGAAGAAACCTGAACCCTAGATTGGAAAGGAATTACAAGTGCTACTTGATAGAATTTGATATTTCCTTTTTGTAGCAAAAAGGAAACACAGCTGTAATCATGTAATTGATTATCTTTTATTTTGATCACTTCATTTGCTCATTTTCAGATGATGATTGCCAATTTTACCCCTTAAAAACTGATGGTTCATATATTGGTTATCTTTAAAGCAGTCATTTTATCCAACTATGTTCATATTTTTTAAAAATGAAATGATTAGGAGGCACTTATTAAAGGAAAATCAAGCTGTACCCTGAGGGCTGTACTGTATTATTATTAACCCTTAGGAGCATGATGTGCTATTCTTAAATTATTTATTGAATGAATTACTTCTCCATTGAATTAAATAAAATGTTTAAAAATGGATAAGCATCCTTTAAGTTTACAACTCTTACAAAACTAAATGAATATAAGTTATTTAAGTTCTCTGAAGACACCAGAAACACATGGAAGACTGTAGAACTCTGTTTGGGCTGTTAAATGATGGCTTGTCCTCCCTGTCCTCCTTAACCAAATGCTTAGAATTTTTATTAATTTTGATGATCTATGGTATAATTTGATAGCTTGAAGCATGTATTTTTATGATTAATAGGTGTGTCCATTATTTATGAAGTTAAAATTCAATCAGATACATCATGACTTTGGAAAAGTTCATGCAAATTTTTGTCTGATTTTTAATCAAAAACTATTTTGTACTGAGTGTAATTCAGAGTACCTACTTGCTTTTTTAAAATTTGATGAAAAGCAAGTCATTTCAAACACCTTTTATCACAAGAATATATGCAATACTTTCACACAGAAGAAAATACAGGCCAGTGGATTAGTTCAACCTCTCTTATTATTTTCCTTTGATGATGCATTGTAGTAGTTTAGTTCAATTACTACACAGAGGACTGACTAGCAGAAAGATACCCATCCTCCATTTTTAGCAAAGAGAACACAGACTGAAAAAAAAGAGCATCTCACCTCAATTTTCAGGTTTTCGTAAGCCCAACAAAGATTGGCCAAAAAACTCCATTGGCAAGATTTGAAATACAACTAGAGATGACAATTGCATGATATTTTGATAGATTTGTAAAGCAGAGACTAAAATAAGATGAAAACAATCATTAGCAACTTTGTTATTCTGAACAAATTCCAAGTCCCATGTATTTCATTCCAAAGGATTCTTCAGCCTGTATTTCCCCTTTTTCCCTGTAGGTACCATATTATTGTCATTATCCTGGTGTATTGTTTCCCATTGCTCATCATGGGTGTCACCTACACCATCGTTGGAATTACTCTCTGGGGAGGAGAGATCCCAGGGGACACCTGTGACAAGTACCATGAGCAGCTGAAAGCGAAACGAAAGGTATGGTTCCCTAGAGTCCACCTAGCACCCAAGTACATTGTGCCATATCAGACAGGGAGGAGACGCATCGTGGCCTTTTGATATCAAGTGATTTGATATTCTACACTTTTTTTGTTAATGTGCCTTTTGATGGTTTTTTTCTTTCTATTCTTTCTTTTGCTTTCATTGTCATGCTTCTGTAATGCAGTGTTAGAAAATGACTATGTCATAAAAAATGGATTTCCTTACACTGAGACTTTTGAAGAAATCACCAGTGGGGACTCATCTCAATAACTCTACTTGAAATTGTCAAAACAATATACTTTCAATAAGATCCTAGCTGGTTATATTTGTGTAACTCTAGTTTAGTCTTTGACCTTGATTAAGTAGACAGCCTCTGATATGCTCTGTAATCTTTCCTCCCAAGAATGATATCTCTGCTATCCATGGCTACAATTTCCTCCCCATCTCAACCCTACTGTGATCTTCCTCCTCTTGTATACATCACATATCTGAGGAATGGATGAGAATTTAGTTACTGAGTGACACTAAAGGCCTACTTAGAGACAAATCTCTACAGATTAGACAGTAATAACCTCTCTTGATTTGCTTTTTAAATTATTCTTCAGTAGTTGTACAAAGGAAGTGCCACAAAACACAGCAGTTTATGAACATAGCCCATCTTGGTCAGTGTCCCCCTTCAACATTCTCACCCATCCCTCCCCACCCACCCTTTCCCTCACTGTTCTTGATTTTATAGTATATACAATGAACTTTTAAATATATATTTTTATTGTAAAGATTACAATGAGCTTTTGACTGCATTCTTCCACTACCTTCCTCCCTTTATTTGAAGAGTAGTAACCTTTTATTGGAATTATTTTTTTCCACCAAGATATTTTCTCAATTGTCATTATCTGACTCCATGGATGAGATTTTCCATAACTTGGTGAAATCCAAAAGAATCTTGTTCCAACTCCTTATCTCCAATTGAAGCATGCCTAATACGTACTGGAGAGGTTTTTGTGAGGATAAGTAAGTATAACAGTCATTGTCATTTGTCCCAATTATTGTTAACTTATTTATATAGAGCTACTACTAAACCCATGGACTTTCCATTAAAAAAAAGATCTCTCAACATTTTTGAAATTACTAACTATAAACATTTGCTTAATTATGACTATTCTGCTTCTTAAAAAAATACTATAGCAAATGGATTCCATGTTAAAATTATTATATTTTTTCTCTGCTAGACAGGATTCAGGTTCCCTGAAGATTTATCATACTCTGTAGTACTTAAAAGCAAAAAATAAGGGTGATATCTTCCCCATCAGTGTTATTTTATCTCATTCAAAAATGTTTTTAAAAGAGCGTTCTTTAGACTAGAGATGTAGTTCAAAATCAGAGTTCATGCTTAGCATCTGCAAGTTCCTGGGTTCAAATCTCAAAACCAGAAAAAGAAAACCCTAACCATAATGTGTGTGAATACCCCATATGTACCTTTAACACCCACAAGTGAAGCTTAAAACTAGGATTTGATTAATATATTCCTTATCTTACATAAAGTTTCTCTTTCCTTTGTAATTTCAACACTCACTCTAATAGCTTTCTTATACTTCATGGACTATAATTACTTTTCTTCACATACATGCAATATTTTTAGGGAGAAATAAATTTTTTGAGAAATAAGTTTTTAATTGGAATGCTTTCATTTTTCTTCAGTTAGAACTCTAAAGGGAATAAGTCATGAGTAAATATTTTTTTAATGATGTCAATGCACAAACTGGTGAAGAGAAAGCATAAATATTCCTTTTTGAGTTTGTTTCAAAGTATATATATATATATATATATATATATATATATATATATATAACTAAAACTGGCTGCCTGACTTTTCTAGAATATTTCAGAAAAGAATATTTTAGAGTTGTGATCCATTTCTTTCTCTCTCAAACTGAATCCTGTGCTAAAATAATGCAAAATGACATCCAAGTCGCAGACGTCTCGTTAGAAGTCATCTTGTCCTTGGATTTTCGCCACAGTGACTTTTAGTATAGGCATCAGTATGTTATGGACATTACTATTCCGTTTTCTCCAAATTTCAAATATAGCTAACTTTTCTGTTAATTCCTTCCCTTTAAAAAAAAGATCTTATAAATATATTTTCATTTTAGCTGACATAATAAATGTGTACATCTAAAAATTAAGTCTTTTCAAGTATGATTTCAAATATATTTACTACTAACCATCATGGGGTTTTCATAATTTTATATGACCACATATACAAAAGCAACTTGGCTGTCTCCCAGCAGACCTATCTTTGATCATTCAGATCAGGCTTGAGAGATAAAAATAGAAGTATTGGCTATAATTGTGCAAATGAAGCCTGACTATCAAAAGAAACAACTCTGTAAGCCAACTTTGAATCAACCCATTAATGACAAAATATGGGCAAAGGTTGGCTGACTCCCAAATATGCATGTACAAACTAAATGAAACTTGATGAGATTTCATCTAATGTGATACTCTTAAACACACCTTTATTCCCAGGACTTGGGAGCCAAGAGCAGGAAGATAGCAAGATAGCAGCTTTAATGATAGCTGGGCTATATAGTGAGACCCTATCTTTAAAGCCTTTTATATCAAGTCACTAAGAAATCTTTCAAGCATCTCTTTGTTCTACAGGCATTTGAATTGTGCTCAGTTTCAAAACTTATGGATTAAATTCTTTTAAAGAATATTCTTCTTCTTCCTCCTCTTCCTCTTCCTCTTCCTCTTCCTTCTTCTTCTTCTCCTTCTTCTCCTTCTTCTTCTTCTTCTCCTTCTTCTCCTTCTTCTCCTTCTTCTCATTCTTCTTGTCATGGGGCTTGAACTCTGGGCCTGGGTGCTGTCCCTCAGCTTTTCAGCTCTAAGGCTAGTGTTCTACCACTTGAGCCACAGTGACACTTCCGGTTTTCTGATGGTTAATTGGAGATGAGTCTGGCAGACTTTCTTGCCCACACTGGTTTTGAACCACAATCCTCAGATCTCAGCCTCCTGAGTAGCTAGGATGACAGGCATGAGCCACTGGCGCCAGGCTAAAGAGTATTTTTTAAAGAACTACTTTTCTACATCATTTAGGAGTGAGTATTTAATAATTTAGCTACTATGAAACTTTCTGATAGAGTAGGATTAATCATTTAAGAGAATGACATCATTGGCTGCAGTCAGCACTAGGTAAAATGATTATTAGTCTTGAAATAAAAATTAATACCTCCAGAAACCCTCCATTATGATTATAGTATGGAATGTCAAAATCAAATTTAAAGCTAGATGGCTCTGAAGAATTTAATAAGAGCTATGAGGAACATCAAAGGATTATTTCTGTGTTTGAATCACAGGTATAGAACTGATCTTTAATGAAAGAAAGAGAAAGGTCAGAAACACAAACTCTTATATAATGTATTTTACACTTTCAAAGCACATTCTATATCTTATTTTCAAAGCCAAAGTTAATCAGGCTTAGAAAAACTGTTTTTCAAGACACTAGAATTATACCACAAAGTTTGAAATTTTACAGATTTTAACTATATAGAGCTCAGCTCACAAACTGATTTAAAATACATTTATAGTCTGGTAATGATGGAGAATCTAGAAAGATAGGCTTAATAACTTAATTTTTTATGAATCTCTTGCTTAAAGTCTCTTGGACTAAAACCAAATGCCATGTGAGGACGAAATGAGGAGATGGGCTAGCAGATCTTTTTTTTGGGGGGGGGGTCCGGTTGTGGGGCCTGAACTCTGGGCCTGGGCGCTATCCCTCAGCTCTTCAGCTCAAGGCTAGCGCTCTACCACTTGAGCCACAGCGCCACTTCCAGCTTTTTTCTTTTTGTTTATGTGGTGCTGAGGAATCGAACCCAGGGCCTCATGCATGCAAGGCAAGTGCTCTACCACTGAGCCACCTTAGATCTTTTATTTAAGATGTTTCAGTAAAGAAATTAAATATACTATCGGGTTTTTTCCCCCTTTGTTGCCTACATTGTGTTTTGTTAAATATCTGCAAGTGAGAAAAAAACGTAAGTATAATAGCAGAGTTGTTTATAATGCCTTTTAGATTCGGGGTCTTAACTATAACTAGATCGATAAGGCTAGAAACTAAACCTACTTACTTTGAAAACAGATTTATAATCTATCTTTCCCACAGAGTATTTTCATAACTAAAGACTGCCTCTTTCTTTCCAATTTGAGAGGTAAGAAAATTTGGTAATTTATTCCTATAAATGATTTTAAGATTCTTGGCAATGACAACATATATCTCAAAATATACATGTGAGTGAAGTAGAGGGCTCCTTGCTGGCATCTTGATCTGGAATATAAATGCTACTGGCCCAAAGACGACATCCCGATAACAAGTCACACTAACAAACACAGTATATAAATTGGACTTAGAGTTCATACTTTTAGTAATAATGATTACCAGGATCATCAATATGAAATAATTAGTATATGTCTAGGATAGTCCTGGAAGAGAATCATAATAGCTCATTAGCTATATATATATGACCATTCAAAAAGATGCTAATTGAAATATACTCCAAGACATGGAAATGACAGGTCTTTTTTTCAGTTGTTGACATTGTTGCCAATGTAGTATATCTAGTTCTTTCTTTTTATTTTATTTCATTTTTCTTTTCCCATTGGTTTGTTCCTGGCAATCACTATCTTTGATTCTGTTACCCTGCATCTTGTATATACATTTATCTAATGAGGGGAAGGGGAATAACAAAATGCTGAAACATGGACAAAGGATGACCCATTAAAACAACGATACTCACAAGACACTATGTTGGAAATGATCTTTACTACTTGGGGTAGGGAGGAATGGGGGAGGGAAGGAATAGTGGGAGAAAACTAAGGAGTTGGTAACAATGTTTGACAAGAAATGTACTCATTACCGTATTCATGTAACTGTAACCCCTCTGTACAGCATCTTTACAATAAAATAAAATATAAAAGAAAAGAAAAAGAAGTGGGGAAATAGA